AATAAGAGCACTTTTCTAAAGACTTTCCATCTATCATCTCACACGGATCCCATGAGGAAGGCTAAATTGCTATTGCAATCGCCATTTCATACTGTTTAGGAAACCACACCGCGGACAGTCCAGCGGCTAACCCAAGGCGAGTCTGTGAGCACCACCCAGGTTTTCAGACTCCCCGCTGGCATTTCCCCTAGCAGCCCCAGAGGTCTCCCACCCTCCGCCAGCCTCCCTGCTTTCATTCTCTGGCATCTCCTCCCCTCCTCTCCCTGTCCTGTTGACTGTTGACCACCGTTTCCACATGGGAGCACCATGACCTTTCGCCTCAAGCAGCTAGTCACTGGGGAGAAGCGCCGGGGTGGCAGATGGAATGTGAGGGAGAGGAGGGGACACGGCTGTCCCAGGGACAGTTCCCATACCTCGGGGCCAGGCGCTCAGAGCCCAGCTGAAATCTGGAAGTTTGGGGTCCTCCATTCCTGTTTGGGCTCTGCCCCCAAAACCAGCTGGCAATTCCACCCCCCTCCTGCGCCCCTCCCAACCCCTGTTTCACACCCCTCTGTGTGGCTCCCTAATGCCTGTGCCCTCCACCCACTCCTCCCGTCAGGGAGGCCACACCATTCATGTTGGGGGTGGGAAGGGAAGGAGATGTCAGCACCCCATTTCTGACCCTCACAGACTTCCCCCATTCAGCCATTCAAGGACAAGAAGCTGAAGATGTTCCCCTCAAAAGGTGAGGGTAGCAGAGGGGCTTTTCTCCCCTTCCACACCCCATAATGTGATGGGGGTTGGGGGAGGAAGGACAAAGCCTTAGAAGGTCAGAGGGACACAAAGACCCCCTTCCTAAGCAAAGGAAAGAAACCTGTCAAGTCAGGAACTGAAGCCCAGAGCCCCTTCTCAAGATCTTGGGGTGGTAGTGGGTGGGATGCAGAGGACATGTGCAGGATGTAGTGATGGCTGGGACCCGCACAGGTTTCTTGGGCCTTTTTGGTTTATCCTCCCCACCCCCAGCCTCCACCATGCTGTTCTAGGCAGGCAGAGGCTAAACCCAGGGCTGCACCGGATGCAGGAGAATGTCTCTTCTGTTGGGACTCTCTGTCCTCATGCTCTGTCTCTCCATCTGTCTATGGCAGCCACCTGTGGTGACAGAGTGTGCCCCTTTCCCCTCGACGGGATCCTAATGCCCATCAGAAACCATGTAAGGAGTTGAGTCCCCCCACACCCTACCCCAGACCCTGCCCTGATCATCTTTCCCTGGCCAGGAGAGTCTGAGGGAGGGAGCAGGTTGCCACACCTCAGAAAAGGACCTCAGTGCCTTGGAGTGGGGACTCCGCTGAGTGCAGTCCTATTGAGGCTAGTGGAGAGTGGTAGGGTCCCAGTCACCACTGTCCTGTACCCAAAGCTCAGCTCGGGCCTGAGACAGCCCCAGGGAGCACACGGGGTTTCGGGCGCTGCAGGCTGAGCTAGAGGACACACAGCTAGAGCTGTGTGCTGAAGGGCCTGACTCTGGCAGCGGGCCGCCTGCGGAGCGAGTGACTGGCGCGGCTGGGCAAGCAAGACACCGTGGACACCGTGAGGGCGGGGCAAGGCGGCCGGGGGCGGGGCCTGTGACGGAGTAGGCGGGGTTGCGGGCTGCTGGACTGGGGATGATGTCCGGGGGCGGAGCTGGGTGCAGACCTCAGGACTGGGCGGGGCTTAAGGCGGCTTGGGGCGGGGCTACAGATAGGTGGGGCCGGAGGTGGGAGGGATGGGACTTGACCCGCCTCCCTCTCCTGGAAGTTTGCCCACCTGTGGAGGCGTCTTCAGGCTGACGGAGAGGCTGGGCCCTTGCCCGAGGGAATGCCCACTCTCAGCAGGGAAACCTTCCCCTCCTTCAGGAAGTTCCGTCTCTAACTTCAGGAATATCTAGATAGCTCCTCACTTCCCATCTCCAGGTGGATGGGGCCCTGGATCTTAAGGAACCAGTGGTTCTGGGAAGGGGAACGGGAGCGGCGGCGGGAATAGAGTCTGCAGGAGATTTCTAGCAAACTCCACCCCAGGCTAGCTGGGAACATCCTCTCTACCTGCTGGGGCTCTGTGTAGTGAGGGGTCAGGAGAGAGGGTGAGGGCAGTCCCTGAAGGGCAGAGTCTACTAGGTTAGGCCCAGTGATACCAAGCAGAACCTACCACATGGGTTCCAGTGCAAAACGAAAATTCAGGGTTCCTTGTTTAAAAAACCAGACAAAGGGAGACCAGGGAAAGCAGAGCGCGACTTAGGGACAGGCTCGGGGGATCTGGTGAAAATAGAAGCTTTAGTTCCAAGCTTTCCTTAGCTTTGAAGGCTCCGTCTGGGACCCAGTCTCTCTTTCTCTCTCTTTTTAAAATCTTTCTTTCTTTCTTTATTATGTAGACTCCTCTCTGGTCAAAGGACCTAGTCTCTTTAACAAGGACCTGGGAGCTCTGTCGCATCAGGAGTGCCCGGCAATCACAGCTGAGGAGGAGAGCTCCTCTCCCATCAGCCACGAGGTGGACGGGAGCTCCAATACCTGGTCCTGCTGCATCAGCAGGGCCTCAGCAAGAGCTGGGATCCTAAGAGGATCAGCTGACAGAGGGGGCTTCCCTGGGTTTGTGCTGGGAGCTGGCAGTGGCCTCCTTGCCCAAACCAGCCTGATGGGTAGGGCGATGGATTGGCAGTGGAGGGCTGGGGGCAGCGAGGGCTGACTTTGTGAAGCTCGATGCTGAGTTTGACGCACTTCAAGCTGAACATCTCTATCTGCTTAGCCAGGAGCTTGGGGATGTCTTGGACTCCGAAGCTGATTTGGGAATTTAGGAAGAAACCTCAAAGCTTTTTAGGAGATAAGAAAAGAGTGTGAGAGTTTTACTTTGTTCAGAAAGGAGAATTTATGGAAGTATAGCTCACAATCTATGACTTGCACCCCAAAACTTCCAATCTACCATGTGAGATATAAAACCAATGCCCCTGGGGAGCGCTCTTCCTGCCCCTCCTCCAGGTGGTCATGCCCCCATCCCAGCCTGTCTTCACCCCTAACAATTCTGCCTCCTTTCATTCAAAGAAGGTCTGGGAATATGTTTGTGTGGGACTCATTTCCCCAAATGCTCCAGTCGTCCCACACCCTATGAGTGGGCTTCACATCCTACAAGTGTGTTCCTGACCCTTCTACTCGTCCTTGCAACTCCCAGACTGTTAGCTTTTTCCCTTTCTGGCCAGGGTCAGAGCCTTCCACCTGCCTGGACTCCCGTAGCCCACCCCTCACTCTTTCCCCTTCAGCCCCTTGCTGAGGGGAAAATCAACAGTAATAAAATGGAAAATGGGTAAGGAAATAACGCCCTATCCGAATGCCTGTGTCTGTCTGCAGTGCACTCTGTGGGTCAGAGAGAAAGGACGGTTGCCAGAGAGCAAGTGGCTGGGGCTTCCTCCCCTAAGTCAATTCCCTCTCCTGATCCCCGTCTCCTAGCAAGCCCCCGCCCACCCCCATCACAAGCTTGATCCTCAGATCAGGGATGATTATCACGCATCACTACCTTGGCTGACCACCAGAGGGAGGTGGAGAGCAAAGCCTGCCGCCTGCCTAGCACCAGGCGCTCCGCAGCCTCCCGCGTCAGCATTAAGGGGCTTTTAATTAACCTAAGGAGTCCTTACATGTTAGCCTAACTTAAATATCCTCCAGCGCAACTTAAATTCTGTCCCAGAGTCCCCTGAACATAAACCAGGACTCTGAGGAGGAGCCTCTGGACCCTAAGGCGGGGATTAAGGTGTGAGCCAGCCTGGTCTGGGTTTAAGACTTAAAGAAGAGATATTTGGGAGCATCCGTCATATTGAATGAGACTTTAGGGACAGAAGTGGAGTAGTGACTTTTTAGGGAGTTTTACAGAGTATGGTATGGTCTAATCTCCCCCTTCGCCCCCATCCCCTCAAGAAAACCTCCAGTAAAAATCGAATTTACTCTTCCTGGTGCTCCAGGATCCCTACTCTTCATGGTGTTCTGGGTGGCGTTTCTTTTTCGATGAGTGATGCTGAAAAGAGCCTCAAAGTGAGAGCAGCAAGGCTCGGGTGTATTCGGGTCGTGCACACGCAAACATAGCCTATAGCCCACCACTGTGCGAGCCTCCCTTGAAAATCCCTTAATCTGTCCGATAGACACGTGGCGTTGTGTGTAAATCCCCTTTAAGATTCCTTCTAGACAGAGACCTAAGATAAGAGCAAGACCTGAGTGACCTCTGCTGAGACATCTGAATCTCCACGATAAGTTTATTGGGCTTTTCCACTAATACTGCTGTGCCTCTGCCAACACAAATGTGCGTGTGTGTGTGTGTGTGTGTGTGTGTGTGTGTATGTGTGTGTGTGTGTGTGTGTGTGTGCTGTTCCACGAGGAGCAGAGACACTGAACGCTAAACAGCAGAAAACCATTTGGTCTAGCTCCATCTCTGCCTACTCAGACATATGCTTCTAGCGGTACCAGAGATATGTCCACGCAGCTCAGACAAACGGAGTGAGGCAGTGATATGCAGGCTGACAGGCACAAAGAGGGAGGACGGCACTTCCGCTGCTCTGCTCTCTGCTGGAACTTGTGGACACACAGGATTTCTTATCCTCGCATCATACCCGCAGACCCCATCATGAATCCAAGATGCTTTCTGATGACGATGATGAGATGACAGAACAGAGATGTGTTCCCTCATCACACACACGTGCACGCATACGTGCACTCACACACGCACATACATCAGCTCCCACTGCCTCTCTCTGCAACCCTGGGAAGGTGCCCGCCTTCCTGTCCTCTCCACCCACGGCCAAACTTCAGTCACCTCTCTTTCAGCCCTGGCTCCCTCCACCCACGCTGGCACCTGCTTGGCAGCTCCCCATCCACCCCCTCAGCCCTCAGGAGACCAGGGCACACATGGAACAGGTTGATGCTGTTCTCCCGGAAGTGGAGCGGGAGGGGGGTGGGGTCACTGGGGCAGGCGGGGTCCCTGGAAGCCTTCATCCCTGCCTCCATAGAGGCATAAAGCAGCCGGTACTGGCAAGGGACAGTCATTCTCTCAACCTACAGACCAAGCGAGCCCTGGGCCTTCACCCCAGATCCCACTGCTGGACAGGACCCAGCCCTCTCCCTGGTAAGAACTTGATGACAACAGAGGAGGCTGGGGGGTGTTCGGGGGATAGAGGGAGGTGGGTGGAACCAGAAGGGTATGGGGCTCCGCTAGAGTCCAGCGGGGTAGATATCTGATAGGCCTTGGGGAGGGAAGGGGGAGGTGGCCCTGTGAGCGCCTCTCTGGAGAGGAGGAGACTGCAGTCGCCTGAGCCCTTCCCAGGTGCACCCCGCTGGCCCTGGAGGTTGTCCTGCCCCATCCTGGCCCTCCAAGGAATAAGGGGTGAAAAAATCACATTGGAGCTGGCAGAAGGGCCCCAGCCCCATCTGTGCCTGTTCCTCCTACTTTCCTGCCACTGTGAGGTACCCACAGTGGAGGTGAGGCTCTTCCATGCCAGCTGGTGTGTCCTCTTCCACCCACGGGGATAATCTGGGTGTGCCAGTTGGCCGCCAGACCAGAGAACCTGGACTTGAACTTCAAAGACAGGGACCTACGGTGGTGAACTTCAGGCTCTCATGGGCCCCACATTCTCCAGTGCCCTGTCAGCCCAGCCAGCGTATGTCTCCCAGGGCCACATTCATTCCTTCCTTCCATACACATTTGCCAAGTTCCAGCTCTGTGCCAGGTGCGGTGCCTGGTGCTGATGCTGCAGAGGTGATTAAGACCCATTTCCTGCCCTCTGGGAAGTCACCGCCAAGGAGGCGAGAGAGTCACGTGAACAGAGCATAACGACATGAAGTGCAGGTGTTTCAAAAGCGGATGCACAAAGTGCTTTGGGGACACAGGTGGAGTCACCAGCTGCCTGAAGGAGTGAGGGAAGAGATCACGAGGAGGTGACCTGAACTGAGTGTTAAAGGACAGACAGGGAAGCACAGGGTGCAGGGAAGTGTCCCCCATCTGAAGGAAGGACAACCGGGCCAGGTGACCAGCTCTGCCTCCCAGACCCTCGGCACCCATGGTGGTTGCTTCCCTTCCCTGGTGTCCCCAGGTCCTGGCTGTCGCTATTCTCTGGTGTGAGCAGAAGCTTTACTTCCACTGCTGATGAAACGCCCCAGCCGGGCTCCGTGTCTGTGGATAAAATGAGTGTGGAGTGAGAAAAGAGCCCTTGACAAAGACAGGGGAGGGCTGGCGTCTCTGGCCAGCTGTGTGACTTCCGGCAGCTGTTTCAGCTCTCGAGAGAGAGGTTGTTCATCATAAAATGAAGACACCTTTGGTCCTTTCCAAAGAACTCTGACACCGGGGGATCCGGGCACCTTTGAGAGCTGTCCCTGCCCCAGAGCCAGTGAGCCCTCCCTGCGGAGGGGCCTCACCAGGTCCTGGTCTCCTCGGCAGCCACCTTGATTCTCTCCCATCTTCCCACCCCCCACAGAGACGATGACCATGTTTGAAAATGTCACCCGGGCCCTGGCCAGGCAACTAAACCCTCGAGGGGACCTGACACCGCTTGACAGCCTCATTGACTTTAAGCGCTTCCATCCCTTCTGCCTGGTGCTGAGGAAGAGGAAGAGCACGCTGTTCTGGGGGGCCCGCTATGTCCGCACCGACTACACCCTCCTGGATGTGCTGGAGCCCGGCAGCTCCCCTTCAGGTCAGCCCCGGGCATGGGGCTGGGTACTGAGGGATGCTGAGGAATGGGGGCCCACAAGGAGGACCCCAAAGCCCCCTCTGCCCAGACGTGGGTGGGTGTCATCTAGGCCAAAGCTCTCTTTAGGAGCTGAGGAGGCTGGGGGGAAGCAATGCCCCTCAGCCCAGCTCCTTCCGCCTTCTCCCTCCCGCAGATCCAACAGACACTGGGAGCTTTGGCTTTAAGAACATGCTGGATGCCCGAGTGGAGGGCGAGGTGGATGTGCCAAAGACGGTGAAGGTGACAGGGACTGCGGGGCTGTCCCGGAACAGCACCCTGGAGGTCCAGACACTCAGTGTGGCTCCCAAGGCCCTGGAGACCTTGCAGGGGGAGAGGTGAGAGGGGACAGGGCCCAGAGGTGACCGGGAGGGGGCAGGGCAGTGCATGGACAGGGTGCTTTGGGCCCTGGGTTGAAAGGTGGGGCCTTCACACTGGCTTTCACCTTCACTACAGGGGGGCTCTTGAAAAGGACCCTTCTGGCCTATGGGTGCATCCAGGCCCTGCCCTAACCACTCCTCCCGGTCCTCCCACGGCCTCCAGGACCACCTCCAACTACCACACATGCTCGGGGAGGAGGACGTTCACATCAGCTTGCTGTGTGACTTTGGAAATGTCACTTCATCTTTTCTGCAAAAGATGGGGTTGGATGATAATCTCTGAGGTTCCTTCCAACTCTAAGACTGGGAAAGGGGAGGGGTGGGTCTCTGTGCCCTGCTGAGGCCTGAACACAATGTCCTGCACCCATAAGTGAAGCCTCCCCCCGGCCCCGTCTACACACCAGGCACGCCCTTGGGAACGCTGCCTCACGGCACAAAGGGTGTGGCAGGTGCCACGTTGATGCTGGGCACCGCGGATGTTTGGCTTGATGGGAAACTGACTGTTAAGTAGTTAAGTAGTAGTTGAAAGAAGGAGGTGAGGACTGGGGAGGCAGGAAGGAAGGGCTAGGACTTGGGAATCACCCAGTAAGCATTTATAGAGCTCTATTTAAGTAGCAAAGCACCCTACTACGTGCTGGGTTGCACCTAGTACATCTTTGCCCAAGAACTTTGGGATCCAGGAGTGTGAAAAAAACAAACGAAACCTGCAACTGTAATTATAATCCAAGGCAAGAAGTGGTAAGAGCCACAGGAATGGTTCTGTTAAGTCTTGTGGCGGGTCAGATGGACTTCTGACTGGGGAATTAAGCAAAGACCTCACAGAGGAGTCAGCTTATGATCTAGACCTTGAAAGATGAGCAGAAATTGGACATGCAGGGCTGGGAGACAGATATCACCAAGGCACACAGGTGAGAAATCTCAAAACAAGTTAGGACCATGAACAGCCAGTTTGATGGGAGCAGAAGAGGTGGGGATGGAAGGAGCGGGAGATGTAGGGTAGGCCCAGGTCACGGATGTGCCGGGTGCCAGGTCAGGGAGATTGAACCATTCTGTAGGCACCAGGGAGACCCTGACAAGGCTCTGCTGTGTCTCATGACTCATCTGGCCAGATGGAGGAAGTGTCTGATAGAGGAAGGGGGCCAGGGCTGTGAAGCAGGCAGACCAGGCAAGACACTGTCCCACCTTCGTCAGTGAGGCAAGCTGAGGACCCGAGCTGGGGAGCAGCAGTCGGGATGAAGGGGTCGGAGGCAAGGCCTATTGCAAACAGCAATCGAATGGACTGGGCATGGTGGCTGATCTCAGGATGAGGGTGGGGATTTTGTCAAGGACAACACTGAGATTTGACCCAGGTCGTGGTATTCATTACAGGACATTAAAGGTGACATTACAGGTGACAAACAGGAAGACAGAGGTCAGAGGTAGATTTGCAAAGACATTGTGTGTTCCCATGAGTGTGTGGCTCTGCTGATACATGGGCTGAGGATGTCTGCCAGGTTGTTGGAAATAAGACGCTGGGGCTCAGGAGAAAACCCAAGGTGAAGACACACAGGTGGTGGCGACAATGTAAGATGAAGCTGTGGGAATCAGGGTGCTGCTGGGGGGAGTTCGGAGAACAGAGGAGTGAGAACAGAAGCTTAGAGAACATAAAATTTTAGGGAACTAAAAAACTGGAAAATGAGGTGACGACAGAATGGATAAGATTTAGCATCAGGAAGATGGGATAGAACCAGGGTGGTACAGTGAGATCGGAAGCAAGAGAAGCCAGCATCACATAGAGGGTTTGGACAACAGGGTGGAGCATTGCAGAGTTAGGGAAAGTCATTGAGTTTGGCGGGTCAGAAGTCATTGTGATTTCAGCTGAGGAGTGCTAAGAGAAGGCAAATTATAGAGAATTTAGGAGTGAGCAGTGAGGAAGTAGACAGTGTGCGTGGGCATATCTTTTGAGATCTTTGCCAGCTAAGTGCAGGCAAGAAAGAGGGTGGTAATTTGAGAGAGTAGCAAGATCAAAGAAAGTGAATTTTCTAAGCTCTTTACATATCAGGAAAAAAAGAAGTGAGTTTGTTAGGATCAGGGACATGTTTACATACAGGAGCAAGTGGAGAGGAGGAACCGGTGTTAATGGTGCAAGAGATGGAGAAAAAAGATCCCAGAAGAGATGGATAGGGAGGAGAATCTTCCCCTGGACTGAAGGAAAAGGGGCGAAGGACACACTCGTGAGCCCTGTTCCAGACAGGAGCGTCGCCAGAGCATTTCCCAGTTTATCTCCCAGCAGCCCTGGAGGTGGGCGCCATCGTCCTCATTTTACAGATGGGGCGACTAAGACTCAGGGAAGCTGCCTTGCCAGTGAGCGGAAAGTCTTGGTGTCAACCTCAGTCTTACCCCAGAGTCCTCAGGCCTTCCCTGCCACCACAGCGTCCAGTTCCTGGGAACGACAGAAGAAAGGAGCAGGGTATGGCCCAGGCAGGGGAAGCTCTGAACGGTTCCCTCATGTCCTCCTGCCTCAGGAAGCTGGTGGCAGATCACCCATTCCTGAAGGAGATGCGAGATCGGGGAGAGAACCTGTACGTCGTGATGGAGGTGGTGGAGACGGTGCAGGAGGTCACCCTGGAGAGAGCCGGCAAGGCAGAGGGCTGCTTCTCCCTGCCCTTCTTTGCCCCCCTGGGGCTACAGGTTTGACTCAAACACACACGCGCACACACACTCTCTCACATGCATGTTTACATTCAGCCCCTTGTCAGAGATTTTGTTGGTTCTGCACCATCGGTGCCCACACAGGACACTGAAAGGACACACTCCTTCCCCCTGCTGGCCAGACACAATCCCCCACTCTGGTTAGCAGCGCCCAGGATAGGCAGATCCCTGTGCCAGATGCCACAGGAAATTTGGGGGAAATGGAAACTCACACTCATGGGTTTTCCACCATGGTGCTCCCAACCTGAAAAGGAGGCATCCTTGCTCCTAGAAAGTGCTCAGGCTCATGGAGGAGACACATAGCTTAAAGCCCAGAGAACACAGGTTTGGAAGATTCAATGGGAATAAGTAATGGTCTACAAATCTATAGCTATTGAGTAGCAATATTCAAGGGATGATTTGGAATTGGGAGCCAAGAGTGGGGGCTAGTCATGGAAGGCTTCCTGAACAAAGTGAGTATGGGACAGATGGCACAGAGGAGGAAGGAGCCAGGGCCTGGTGGAAGCGCTAAGGGGGGACAGGGCGACGCACAGGCAGGTGATGGAGCAGGTCTGCCCAGTTCCCTGCTCGTGTCTGAACCAGGAAGAGAGATACAGATCGTTGGAGGGATGACTGGGGACACCACTGAAGTTCCCAACTTCTTACCTGCACAAATGCTCTCTGCCCTGACCCTGCACCTGCCCCACCCCACTCGCAATGTCTCGCACTTAAGATCTCCGCAGATTCACAAATCCTCATTGTCTGATCCTAGGGGTCTGTCGACCACAAGGAGGCTGTGACCATCCCCAAGGGCTGCGTCCTGGCATTTCGAGTGAGACAGCTGATGGTCAAAGGCAAAGATGAGTGGGGTAAGCAGAGATGAGAATTACCCACAGGAATTCAAGGCACCCTGGTCCCCTCTTGTGGCAATGTCAGAGAATAAGCGAAGGAGTGTATTGTATGGTGGTCCAACTGCGGGGGACAGAGCTACCGGGGCTGCTCTGGGGAGAGGGGAGAAGGGGCTCCTGGGTTCTGAGCATCTCCTGGGTGCCGGGCACTGTGGTGGTTGATGGGAGGGGGTACAAAATGAACAAGCACAGCCTCTGCTTTCATTTGTCTGTGGCAAAAGGAATAAACAGACACAGACATCAGTTCTAGAATGCAAGGCAGAAAATAATGTTAACATAGGAGAAAATTTACACAGGAAGAAAAGATTGCTTCCAGCAATGGAGGCTGAGCAGGGAATTAGAGGGGGCATTTGGGGGCAGGGTCCTAGCCCTTCACAGATCCCTTGGGCTTGAGACTGGGAAGGCAACATGAAGCAGCCGTTAAGCAACCTTCCGCTCTCCCTCTCTGGCCCCTCACAGATATTCCGCACATCTGCAATGACAACATGCAAACCTTCCCTCCCGGGGGTAAGTGAAATTGCTTCCAGACTGCTCCCATCTTCTGTCTGACCCTGACATTATCTGCTAAAATCCTAAACCCTCCACTCATACTATAATCCCCTAAGGAGCCCCTGCTTTTGTTTCCCAAGTCCCTAAGAATGTCCCTCCTCAACTTTAGGAAAGACAGATAGAGACATATAAATACTGCCCAAGAAAGACAGAGAAACAGAAAGACAGAGACCAGAAGGTACAGTCGGAAGCAGAAATGAGACTTGGAGACAGTGTCTGTTCCCAAATCGCGGGGGCGGATGAGCTGACATAATCTCCATGTGTTTGTATAATGATCGCTGATAAAGCTGCCTTGACAACTGCTTTAGATAAAGAGGCAAAAATGGGTTTTATGCTGACAGATGTGCATTGTTTCTGTCTTCAGAAAAGCCAGGAGAGGAGAAGTTCATCCGTAAGTGTTTCCTTTCATTCACTGCAACTTTCTTGACTCAGAATTTTAAAATTCCAATCTTTTTCTTCCCTTTTCTGTGGGACTGACAGGGAAGATGGCAGAGCAGGTCTCAGCTGACAATTGTCCCTGAAACAGGGCAGAAATTCCAATAGGTTGGGAAAAAGCAGTGGAGGGGGAAAGTCTCTGGACAAGATGCCCAGGTGGTCTGATGGCTCAACCTTTGTCCCCAAGGACCTCAGTAGCTGTAACCTGCTACACACACATCTGCAACTCTGCCACCCAGCAACCAGGGCTGGAGCCACTGAGTCACAGTGATGTCAGGAGCAAGAGTATCCTTAAGATAGCTGGGAGCTCCCAGGAGACAGACAGGACATATATCCTCATCCTCCTGGGTGTCTCATCCCCTGGGTATGGCTGCCCTCCTGAAAGATTACATTCTTACCTGTTTCTGTTTCTTTGTTATTTTCTCAGTTATCCAGGCATCTGACGTTGGTAAGGAATTTTGTGAGTTTCTCCCAAGACTTTGGCATGCAAGTGGCAGGAGGTAGAGAGAGGGGAAGGGAAGGGCTGAGTCCCGGGTCCCAGGGATTGGAGCCACTTCCCAGGAGCCACCCTCTCCAAAGTAGGCCGGATGTGTTCTTAGGATGCCAGGCCCCCAGAGGGCCAAGCTAAGGGTCAAGCTCTCCCTGGTCCACCCACGTCCCTGGATATAGATGCACTGCTCTCTGGAACAGCCCCATCCTGGCCCTCATTCAGTCACCAGAGTCATTCTTCTTTGTCAGACTAACTCATGAGAAGGAGAAATAGACCTTCCTTCTCAACTCTTAGCTAACATCTTAGTGAATGGGAAGTCAAATGTGTACTGATATAGGATGAGGCCTGGGGTCTCAGGGGAGGTTAACTGTTGGGTTAGATGATACTACAGGTCCTGGCCATCTCCTTGTCCCAACCCTCAGGTAGGGGCTGGTGGATATCTTCATAACCTCGTTCCTTGGTGAAGCAGAAAGGGGCCAGGCTCCAGCTGGGGACAGGGTGCGTGGACCTGAGGAGGGCGGAGAGTGAATGAGCCCTGCAGGGAGGATGCTTACTGGACGGGGAGGGTGCCTGATGGAGGGTCGTGTGCCACATTCACTGCCCCCATAGGGGATGTACATGAAGGCTTCAAGACTCTAAAAGAAGAGGTTCAGAGAGAGACCCAAGAAGTGGACAGGCTGAGCCGGGTGGGGCAAAGCTCCCTGCTCAGCTCCCTCAGCAAACTCCTAGGGAAGAAAAAGGAGCTACAAGACCTTGAGCTCGAGGTGAGGCCCTGGTGGAAGGCTGGGAGATGTGGGGGAAGACAGGTTTTGGGGAGGGGAATATTGTAGCTGGTGGGGGCATCTGACAGTGGCTCAAGGTGGCCAGTGGCCAGCGGAGTCAGTAGTGGACACCTTCCCCAAGGCTGGCCAAGTGCCCCCAGGCTGCCAGGCCACTGCTGCTCCCTCTGTCCCCTGGAAAAGGGCAAACAGTGCAGATTCCTCCAAGGCACATGGTCCCTCTGATGGACAGAGGGCAGGCGGCAGGCCAGAAGGGCCCTCTGCTGGAAGGGGCTGGAACTTTCCCTTTCCAGTCCAATACTTTTCAGGACTTGATACCTCGAAAAAGAAATGAGGAAATAGGAGAGAGTTAACATGCGACAAGGGATTGTTATGTGCCAGGCACCATGTTGGGCCCTTTACTCATGTTATCTTCAACAGTCGCCTGTCTTTCCCCACAGCTTGAAGGAGCTCTAGACAAGGGACGTGAGGTGACACTGGAGGCACTCCCAAAAGATGTCCTGCTATCAAAGGAGGCAATGGGTGCCATCCTCTATTTCCTTGGAGCACTAACAGGTAAGTGGGGAATAAGGTCTTCATTTATAGACCTTTCCAGTGATAGGAATGACTGACTTGAATGAGTTCCCAAATGAATGAATAAATGGATGAGTGAATGACAGACAAAATACACCATAGTTAAGTAGTTTATATTTACATTTTTAAAAATTGGTTTCATTCCTAAGAATTCACTTGGTCACCTTGAATGGTCTGAGAAAACAGCCTAGTCTTGCTAATAGAGATTCAGAAATAGCCCTAGTTTTATCAGCCGCATATTTAAAACTTCTTCATAAGGCTGGACACGGTGGCTCACTCCTGTAATCCCAGCACTTTGGGAGGCCAAGGCAGGAGGATTGCTTGAGGCCAGGAGTTTGAGGTTACGGTGAGCTATGTTTGCACCCCTGCACTTCAGCCTTGGTGACAGAGTGAGACTCTGTCTCTAAAAAAAAAGTAAAAAAAAAAAAACCAAACCAAAAAACTTTTGCACATAGCTAAGTTCATCCTGTCTATATTGATACCTGTTAGCTTTAATTTCAGGGGATAACATCTTCTGATCTGTCCCCTAAATTCTCTTCTTCCCTTTGTATGAAACATTCCACCTCTTGGAAAAACTCTCTGTTCCTTCAGATGTAAACTGAAAGTATACAACTCCATGACCGAAGTAGACCCCTCGGCTACAGCTCTCTTAACACCTGTATTGTAATTACACATTACTTTGTCTTCGCAAGACTGCAAGTTCCTTGAGTGAAGGGAGTACAGTTTTTACCTAACACTCAGCAAAACTGCCTGGCATAAAGCAGACATTCAACTGAATGAATAAATGAATGCTGAAATTCTGGAAGCGCACTCTTTGGAATCTGTAGTCCACTCGGCACCAGCAACACTCATCTCTATTTCTGTTTTTTTTTTCTTTCTCCAGAGCTAAGTGAAGCCCAACAGAAACTGCTGGTAAAATCCATGGATAAGAAGATCCTACCTGTGCAGCTAAAGCTGGTGAGAAAAAAAAAAGGCAGATGCTGGGAGAGTTTAGGAGTAGTTACAGCCAACGGGAAGATGCAGATGTCGCTTAATGATACAACAGTTCTAGAGGGCCCTGTCTTTTCCCAGAAGCTCATGCAAGAGGTAGAAGGCTGAATTTCTGGGATCTGGGTTTATCAGTCTGATCTTGGGAGACAAGACAGAAAATTCTGGCTTTGCTTATTCCTAGCCAAATAATGTGAGCAAAATTTTTAATGTGTCTGTCTCAATTTATTCCTCTGTAAAATGGGGCTAAAAAAATGTGCTGTTCACTATATAAAGCTATCAAAAGACCCAGATGGAGTTGTAATGTAAGGTAAAGTAAGGAGTTACAATCAGAGGAGTGTAGCCTTAGTGTGATTTTTATGAGTTAGGAGACAGGAAGAGAGTTTTCCAGTTCTTTCTTTTCATGCTGCTTTGGTTCCTTCTAGGTGGAGAGCACAATGGAACAGAATTTCCTCCAGGATAAAGAGAGTGTTTTCCCTCTGCGACCAGAGCTACTCTCCTCCCTTGGGGAAGAGGAACTGACCCTCACGGAGGCCCTAGTGGGACTGAGTGGCCTGGAAGTGCAGAGATCCGGCCCCCAATACACATGGGACCCAGACACCCTCCCTCGCCTCTGTGCCCTTTACGCTAGCCTCTCCCTCTTTCAGCTGCTGACCAAGGCTTCCTAACTTGCCTTTTCCACCTGCTTCATGCTTCCCAAATATCTTCCCAACCTCATCGTGGTGTGTCCTTAACATCCAAGGGCATTTCAGAGCCATCAGGCTGACGATGACTGAAATCCTAGCTGGTCACCAACGATAACCAATTTCCACCTACCCAACCATGTATCTCTGCCTGTCCTCCAGCCCTGCAACCCACTAAGCCCATCTGCTGAGGCTTAAATCCTCTAGAAGTAGAAGCACTCAAACTTTTAAACCTATGAGCCATTTCAGCAAAACTGGAAAAATAAATTAATTAACTTCCTATCCTAATCTCTCCTACTCGTAGTTCCAAAAAGCAAGCTTCACTGGAATTAATGAAAAATATTATGTCAATCTTAAGACGAGGTGTCTTTTGATATTTTTCTTTAAAGAATTTATCATGAGGAAATTCTTAATTTGTGTCAGAAAAAGAAATTACCATCATGATACTACATATAGACCATATGTACATGAACACTACCCTATTCTGTCCTCAGGCGAGCTGGAGAATGCTCAGAGAACGGTCCAAGTGCAGAATGTGGGATCTAGATTCTAAAGTGAGAAGATCATCAAAGCAGCTTGTCTTCAAAGACGAGCATTTGGGGGTCCTCCAGCACTGGGTTGAGGGGAAGATCTACAGATATGTGGTAGAAACCCAAAACAAAAATAAGACAGCTTTTGAGTATTGTTGAATGGAAAATGCAGACGGGTCTTCAAAAAAAAAAAAGAGAGACCCAAGAATAAGACTGACCCAAACCTTTTAAAAATAAATCGTGGTATTATCTTCTTTCGCCTTTCTATCTTGAAATTCAGGGTGGTTATGGGAGGAAGTAGTATGGGTAGGCTTAGCACATGGACCTGCTAATATGTATATTGCAATCTCATCAAACAGCTGTGTTTATATCAACCTCCTCCGCCCAAAGCTGGGTTTGAACATCCTTCACCAATCTCTTTTAAAGTAGTTTTATGGGTGGCATAATTTCTCTAAGGCTTTTGGCCCCAGGAGTCAGACTCTCCTCCTTCTTAGCCACCCCCTGCCCAAGCTGGTTCCCTCATTCACCAAGAATTCATGACCAACTGCCAAAGGCTTTGTGCAAATCCATCCTCCCCCACCCTGGGCATCTTCCAAAGCCTCACTACATTGCTCATGGACGTACTGGGTTGTTATCTGCTGACTAAATTGTTTTTGCCTTGTGATGTAAACTTAATAGAGAGGTGAGCTAACATCCTAACCATCCAGAAGAGTAACTTCTTTGATTATTAAGGATAAACAACAAATATCATCTGTTTTCTTCCTTACCATTCTCGCCCACCTTCAGTTACAGATATGGTGTTATGAAGAAGCTCTAGTGAGTTTATTCCAGTGATGATTCAAAAGTCCATCCCACAGCTGGGGGGAGAGAGGGGAGGGGGGTGTGAGAGGACAGTTAAGGAGGAATTTGTCAAGGCATGTTCCCTAAAACTGGAACACATATCTTTCCACTTGGCAAGTGGCTGTGTAATGCAAGGAACTATTTGCTGCAATCATATGAAAAGGAGAATACAAAAGATATGTGGGATATCATAGATATAAAAAGAATATATAGGATATCATTTATATAAAAAGGAAGATATGGTCAAAACATATTCCCTGGCTTCTAGGTCCCTACAACAGGGCTAGTTTGTCTCGTAAGGTCCATCAAAGGTATAAAACTCAGGACGTCCATTTATGGGAGAGATGAATGTTCCAAGATAGGGAGAGAGTTTTTGTTTTGTGTCTTAATAAACTGGGACCTGTATTCACCTCCTTGGCTTCACCTACACAGCAGAGAATTGGTGGGGGAGTCCTTTGAAAAATAAGTGGGCAGGGTTTCCGGTTCAATTTCCTTTCCCTTAGGTACACCATTATTCTGTTCCCCACTTCACAACACTCTGCCTGGATGTACGAAGGCCCCCTCAACGAGCTTCCACCCTCTTTCCCAACCCTCAGGAAACACCGCAGGCCAGAGAGGGGTGTCCGGTTATCTACACCGTCTGACTCCCACGTAGACTACATTCTTGAGCTGAGTTTTTCACCCCCCATGTGCTAACCCTGGGCCATATGTAGGGTGGACCCCTATCTTTTATTAAATCAGAGTGATTTCTGCACAAATGCACCCTTTCCACTATGCGCACTCCCGGGCTGCAGAAATGTTATGTCTTATTTACAGCACTAAGCTAAAATCTGAAAAGGAAGTCTGGATCCCATAGGGTTTTTCCCACTCTCCAGTTCGGTTTATTAATTTAGGCCCAACAGCCCCTAGCTCCACGTCCCTCCTTCGCGGCCTTCTTTCTTTCCCTGGCGCCGGATGCACCCGATGGCCGTTGAGCACCTGCCGAGTGGATCTGGAAGGCGACCCAGACCCAGGGCAAAGTGAGTGAGCTTGGGCGCAAAACCCGCCCGGCAACTAGTGACGTCATCTCGCCCCGCGCTCGGATAGGCCATACCAACTCCACGCCGGTCGGGGTGCTCTTAGAGTCCATTGTAACTCAGGTTGGAGCCTGAGGGGACCTCTCGTGGACATCTACAGAAATGCACCCCAGAGAAACATAAAAGAAAATCAACACACTTAAGTACTCGAAAGAAAGTCCCATAAACCCATCCAGGCTCCTCCCCGCTCCTTCCTCGAAGATCCGCCTCCATCCTGCACTTCGGCTGTTGATTTCTCTCCCCTTTGTTGAGTCGGCCATCGGTCCGCCGGGCCTGGCGTTACCCAGAAAGCCCAGCGCTCGGAAGGGGTTTGCAGCTGCTCCGTCATCGTGCGGCCTGACGCTAGCCCGCGCTCGTGTGCAGGCCCGGCTCAGTTCCTGGTCCCGGGTGCGAGGGTTCACGCGAGGCCCCGGCCTCGGCCCCTGGACTAGGCCGCGACCCCGGGCGCCATGAAGCAGGAGGGCTCGGCGCGGCGCCGCGGCGCGGACAAGACGAAGCCGCCGCCCGGCGGAGGGGAACAAGAGCCACCACCGCCCCCGGCCCCCCAGGATGTGGAGATGAAAGAGGAGGCGGCGGCGGGTGGCGGATCCACGGGGGAGGCAGACGGCAAGACGGCGGCGGCAGCGGCCGAGCACTCCCAGCGAGAGCTGGACACTGTCACCTTGGAGGGTAGGCTAGCCTGGGCCGGGGACGTGCCACGATCACGGGTGACAGCTTCTCCTTGGGACCCCAGCGCAGCCTGCTCCCCGCCTCTCCCCCCACCCAGTTCTTTGGGATCACCCCCAGATGCCTGCCCCCGCTACCCTGCCACTCCCAACTCCAGCACGGTAACTACTCCCCTCATATCCCCCCCGCTCCCCAATCTGGGGTTGTATCTAGATCTAGGTCTTAATGGGCCCGGGGACTCACTCTTCTAAGCCCTCCCCTCTGATCTCCATTTGCATCCCACCCCACTGATTCTAGCACCCCCAATATATATGATTGATCCCTTTAGAAACCAGTGTTTGTATTTATGTTTGTGAAGAGGGCCAGGATGACACAGAGTACTGGCCCCTAAGTTTTAAGAGTGTACAAAAGGCTTCTGTGGTCCTAACTGCCTTTAAGCAAACTCCCCTAAAAGAACCATTTCGACCCAGGATCTTGTTTCATAATTTATCTAATTGAAGTGCCCAAACTATCCCATTGCTCTTCTTCTTTTCCTTCAAGTTCCTACTCCTACTCTGTTTTTAGAGGGTTTAAACACACACTTAAAACTTTTTAGGTGTCACCTTTGAGTTCAATACTCATCTTTGGCCTAAACTTCTATATACCAGTCCCCCATTTCTTTACTCCTAGGTTCCTGTTTCCGATTTCCTATCGTCCTCTTGTTCCTCCAAGTTCATGTTTTTTTACTTTTCCCACTTACAGCATCCCGTCTATATTTGAAGCGGGTAAAGTGAGAGCTTCCCACTGTGGTCCTGGTATTGTTTTCCTGGTTCTGGATCAAGTGGAACCAGACAACTCATTGGGTTTTTTAGTTGTTTTTTGTTTTTTGAGGCAGAGTATTACTCTGTTGCCCTGAGTAGAGGGCAGTGTTGTCGTCCTAGCTCACTGCAATCTCAAACTCCTGGGCTCAAGCACCCTCCTGCCTCAGCTTCCTGAGTCGCCAGGACTACAGGTGCATGCCAAGATGCCCAGCTAATTTTTTCTATTTTTAGTAGAGATGGGGTCTCGCTCTTGCTCAGGCTGGACTTGAACTTCCTGAGCTAAAAGCAGTTCTCCCGCTTCAGCCTCCCAGAGTACTAGGATTACAGGTGTGAGCCACTGCGCCTGGCCTACTTACTGGGATTTCTTTTTACTTAACTGCATGAGAAACTAGCTCAAAAACATTGAGATAAGCAAAGTTATGCTCCTAGATGGTGCTTTTGATGATGTGATAGCGTTGACTACATCAGCTTGTACTCTAAAGTTGAGCAACAGGATCAGTATCTAATAGAGATCCTTTTACCTCTAGCGATAACCTTTTACCAATAGTGATAGCCAGTGGCAAAGGCGCCACTTAACATTACCTACAGGGTATGTTTATTACAAACACTTCATTTTCTTGTTATAAAGTAATTCATGTTCATTGTAGAAATTTTGGAAAGTATAAGAAGTCAGAAGTAGCAGGGAAAAAAATCATGGCTAATATTTGTTCCTATGAATATTTGAGCTGCTCTTGTGTAATTGATGCAGTTTGTATCAGAGTGTACCTAAATACAGATGATTTTGAATTTTGTGTGTTTCATTTAACATATCCATAGATATGATCAGCATTCAATTTATTTCAGAAACATTTATTAAATACTTAATATAGTAGTTAAGAGTACAGGCTCTGGAATTAGTTTCCTCATCTGTATGAATGAGAGTGATAGTACCTACTTTATTGGGTTGTTGTAAACATTAAAATGCTTAGAACTGTATATAGCACATGGTGAACACATAGTAAACCTTCCATAAATGTCAGCTGTTGATATTATTATATCATTAATGTGGCCCAGACACCCCGTACTAAGTGCTGAATATACAAATGTGCCTAAGAAAAAACCAATTGTTAGCATTCCCTTGTTGCTAGACATCTAAACTGTTTCTAGCGTCTTCCTGTTATAAGTAGCTTTGCAACTTTGTGCCCAAGTTTTTTATTATTAT